CAGCTCTCTGACCATATGGTCTGGCGGACTGAACGATGATGTCTTGAGGATTCTCAATAGCAACAATAACCCTTGCAGCCATCATAAGCTTTTCCCACGTTTTACCAAGGTTAATAATATAAATTCCTAAACAGCGAACAGAAAATAAAAATCACTACCAACAACTGAAGAAGACACTGGATTATGAATACTAAAGATCCAGAAAATCATAATCCAAAAAATATATATTAAGTTGAAACTCACAACAAAACGCAATTTAGTTACAATTTCTCATTTATTTAATAAAGAGAGGAACTGAGAATAGGCAACCTAATTATTGAATGTCAAAATTCAGCGTCAAGGTAATAAAATAACATATTTCAAGAAACTTAATTTGTAAAGGTAGATATCTGGTGCCAATTAGTCACTGCATTGAAAGTTAAAAAATTAACTAGGTAATTGAAATTAGAAAACAATTGGAACAAACAACCCCAAGCATATTCCTGTGTATAACTATGCTTGAGCTGTTGAGCATATATTCCTTTCAACTAAGCACCAATAATGTTTTTTCCAATGATTAGAAAAAACCCACGGGAAAATAGAAATGATTTCCAAGGGTAAATTTTAGGCCGCCCCACCAATAACTTTCACAAACTACTAAACAAAAGAGATGTCAATGAATTCATATTAAATTTAATATGAATTTATTGACAGTAAATACCCAAAAAAAAAAGGAAACTTCTTTCACATATTTGAATACAATTTGGCAAGTTTTATCCATTTCTCTCTATCAATAGATCTATCTGGCCCCTCTCTTTCGCGACGTGTCAAGCCCCGGTAAGGTTCTTCACTTTGCATCGAATTAAACCACATGAAAATCACTTAAATCTAAAAGTTCTACCTTTTAATTCCCAGTAATTCGACAATATACATCTGAAAGACGTAAATAATTAAAAAAATAATGCAGATTCCCAACAACATAAAACATTTAGCAAAATAAGCAATAAATCATCAAAATAAATCAACAGAAATAATCACAGAAAGCATCAGATCTCTTAACTGAACAAAAAAAATTGTTCTATGAACTTACCGTCATTGCGGCGCTTGAAGACGTAACGTTCCATCTGGAAGTCACAGTTTTTGGTGCCAAGGTGGACTTCAGCTGCCAACATCATCTGTATGTCGGCCTCCTTCGTCGAGAGTGTCCTTGTCGCAGTCGCCATTTTTTGCTTCACCTCTGCTTTTGCTTAAAGCTTTCTAGGTTTTAGCGGGCGAAAATGCAAAGGCTATCTCCGTTGCCATGGAGTGGGCAGGGTTCATATACTCCATTTCAGAAACCCTATCGATGTTTTTCGAACTGACGGAAATACCCCTGGGTTGAGTTGGGCAATCTTTGGGCTGAATCTGTTGGATACAAATTGGGCTGGTATTGGGGTGTGATTGTTGAGGAAAGGGAATAATACACAAATAAGGTATTTATTTTCACCCATTTCAAAAATCCAAAAA